GAACTCTGGGCCTGGGCGCTGTCCCTCAGCTCTTCAGCTCAAGGCTAGCGCTCTACCACTTGAGCCACAGCATCACTTCTGGCTTTTTTCTTTTTGCTTATGTGGTGCTGAGGAATCGAACCCAGAGCCTCAGGCATGCAAGGCAAGTGCTCTACCACTGAGCCACCTTCCCAGCCCTTGTTTTTTGAAGCGAGTAAAGAGTAATTTACTAGAAAAGTAAACTTGTACCTTGAGGAGTGAGATAGACAGTTTGGTAAGGAGTAAGGATGCTGTGAACAAGCTATTAGAATTTAGAGTTTATTGTCCTGTAGGATGGGATACTGCTTCGAACAAACTCAGGGCCTTTACCAAAATGGTTTGTCCACTGAGAGGCTTCCTGTGGTGTTTTATTTGTTTGGTTTTGTTTCGTTTTCATACATGGTTGCATTATATTTTGAAATTACTCTCCTTTAAATTTTCTTTAGTCCTTTCCCTTTCTTATCACACTGGGCATTGTCCCTTAGCTCTTCAGGTCCAGGCTAGCGCTCTACCACTGAGCCACATCACCACTTCCAGTTTTCTGGTGGTTTACTGGAGATAAGAGTCTTACAGACTATTCTGTCCCGGTTGGCTTTGAACCGAGATCCTCAGATCTCAGCCTCCTGAATAGCTAGGATTACAGGCATGAGCCACCAGCGCCCAGCTACGCTATGTTTTTTATACAAGTAACTAAGATACAAAAAAGTGTCTTGTGATCTGTACTAGTCTGAGGGAGAACTTTATACATATAAGTATTAGTGATTTTTAAAGCATTTTATGTTACATGTTGCTGCTATAGGGGTACCATTATACTGTGTACTATTTTTTATTTTTACAGTTCTTACAAGGATACTTTATTTAGAGATGCTAATATATTTATGTGGTCTCACTAGGTATTCCAGGCTGGCCTCAAACTCATGATCCTCCTTTGTGCATTGTATATGCTAGCTTACCTTTGGCTTTTACTTAATTGTTATTAGTTTTTTTTTCTCCCAGTGGATTTTAGTCTTCATTTTTACAGATATAGGAAACTTTTAGGGATTTTAAACAAGATTTTTAGATATCAATTTTGCCTACTTCTGGTGACAAAAGTTTGCTTGCTTTTATTTTTTTCTCTAGGGATCAAAGACATGTGACACAATGGTTTTTAATCATCCTGCTATTAAGAAATTTTTGGAATCACCATCGAGGTCATCCTCTCCTACCAATCAGAGATCAGAAACACCATCAGCTAATCATTCAGAAAGTGATTCTTTATCTCAACACAATGATTTCTTATCTGACAAAGATAATAACAGCAATGTGGATTTGGAGGAAAGACTCTCAAACAACACGGAGCAGAGACCAAGCCGAAATACTGGAAGGGTATAGAGTTGGATGGAGGGGAGGGAGTCAAAGAAGAGAGCTAGCATTTATTAAGTATGCATGAGTTTTTCATTGAACTTTCAAAGGAGTCCTAGGAAATAGCCTGTTTTCCTTTAGAGTGAGAAACTCGGTCTTAATAAAGTTAATTATATTTTCCTAAAAGGGTTAGAACTGAGAAACCCATATTTTTCTAATTTTAGGGCTCAGGGCTCCAATGTATAAGCACAACTCCTTGATGTCTTTATGTAGATATCACAAAAACTTTTAGGTGTTGGCATTTCAATGACTGCTGGAATACTTTTCACTCTGTCAAGTTTATTCTCTGAAGTGACTCTTAAGTACTTTACTCTGTGAGGCTATTTTAAGGATGCAGTAGTAGCCAGAGAAAATTGAACAAATAATAAATAGAATTGAAAGACGTATTAGTATATGATCCTGTTAGCTTATTGTTTGAGTTTCTAGCTCAAACGTGGTATTTGGCTATAGAGTGTTTATTAGAGTCAACCATTGGTTTTTCCACATGTTTGTAATATAGGAAATTTCTGAGTTGCTTTCCATATACGCATACATCAAGTGCTCAGTTTTTAAAAATAAAATAAACTTATTTTTCTAATTATAAATTCATGTCATCATTAGTAAAAATTAAAAAATAAGAGCAAAAACAAACCCCCTAAAGTCACTCATAATGGTGCCATACAAATAACAGAACTTTAGTGTTGAGTTACTTGTATCTTCCTACTGTATTCTGAGCAAATATTATTAATATTTTAAGAATAGTTTAGGTCAAACTAGTCAC